GGCTCCAGCTGGGGATCTGGTCCCATCGGCTCAGCCGGAGCTCCAGCTGATTGGCTCCAGCTGGGGATCTGGTCCCATCGGCTCAGCTGGAGCTACGGCTGATTGGCTCCAGCTGGGGATCTGGTCCCATCGGCTCAGCCGGAGCTCCAGCTGATTGGCTCTAGCTGGGGGGGATCTGGTCCCATCGGCTCAGCCGGAGCTCCAGCTGATTGGCTCCAGATGGGGATCTGGCCCCATCGGCTCAGCCGGAGCTCCAGCTGATTGGCTCCAGCTGGGGATCTGGTCCCATCGGCTCAGCTGGAGCTACGGCTGATTGGCTCCAGCTGGGGATCTGGTCCAACCCGGGCACAGCTAAGAGGCTGCACCATTCCAGGTTAGAGGACAGCGATAAAACCCTCTCTGCTCCCTGGTATCAGTTGGGTCTCTGGTCAAACCTGCTCTGGCCAGATCCCCCCGCTGCCTCCTCTCCCCTTTACCTGGGCTGAGAGAAGAATGGAATCTTGTCATCCCATCCATCTGGGGCTGCTGCTGCGTCATGCAGGGCCCGTGGCCAGGCACAGCGTTCCTTCAAAGGCTTTCTGCCCATTCCAACTCAGGGCGCTGGAGATGGAGCTACAAGGTGCTTAGTACCCGAAGGCTAACGTGCTGAGATCACACCCCGGAGATCAAGCCCCACGGTCGACCATAAGTTACTGCGCTTCAGGCAGGAACTGCTGGCTGGATTCTCTGGCCTAGACGACCCCAATGGTCCCTTTGTGCCTGAAATAGCAGCCGAGCCCCGTTCTCCTTTGTGTGCCATTTGCATGGGGCACAGCGAGAACGGCACCACCTACTAGCATCCCATGCTCACTGTGCATTGCAAGGTGGCTGATCCAGCCAAGCACGTCGGCGTGTGCTTTGCACCAGCCCCAGGAGCCATCACCTGGCCCGGGCGGGGTCATTGCCTGCCTCAAGTGAAGCAGCTGCCAAAGCGCTGGGCTGGGTCAAAGGCAAAGGGGTTGGCTTCTCTAGTGAGCTCGGAGCACAGGCACAGGCCTTAGTATTTCCAGAGCTCAGTGCCCAGCCCAGGACTAGCTCTCTTGGGGCTGCTTGCTGCTCATCTCAGGACTGGCTGGGGTCTGGGCAGGTGGAGCATTCAGCACCTGGGTCCACTCCAGGCTTTGTCACTTACCTTACGCACGGCCCTGTGACTCTTGGTGCTTGTTTTCCTCCCATCCTTCGTCTAGTTAGACTGAGCTCTTTGGGGCAGGGCCCAGCACAGTGGGGACCTGGTCTCAGTGAGTGGCAGAAGAAGGCCCTGATCGCGGTCTGGGGTTTGTGCAGCACCCAGCGCAATCGGAACATGGCCGCCCATGGTTGGGGGATCTGGGCAGCACCTGGCACAAGCGGGCCCCTGATCTCGCTCAGCAGCAAGGGCGGGGGTGTTGTGCGTGCCTGGCATGACTAGGGCCCTGATCTTGGTTGGGGTCAGTGCAGCACCTGTGTGACAGGAGCCCTGATCTCGGCCCAACACCCAGCCTGACAGGGCCCCACTCTTTGTTGGATGCTACTGCAATATAACCCATAATAGACAAGGTACAAAGCAATGGAGAAACAGGCCCTCGGTCAATCCCTTAACCGTCTCTCGGCCCGGTCTGCCCACACAAAATGAGGACTAGAACTCCAGAGTTGTACGAAGTATAGAATCAACTGTATTCCCCTTTGCGGTAATGTACATGGGTTGAAAGTTTTTTTTGACTTCATCATAATTGGTAACACTTTACAGTAACATTGAAGAGTACAGGAAGTTTACAGGGTAAATATGCAGAACCACAGAGTATTTCCCCCAAAACAATCAGGAAGGGGTTTCTGTTCATTAAAAAAACTAAACCAAAACTGATACAAAAAGAATGAATTAAAAATTTATTTCCTCCCCACCTGGAATGCTGTAAAGGAAAAAGATTGGGAATTCTATTGGTAAAATAAACCAATCTCTCTCTCGATATTTTAAAAAGAGGATATTTATCAGAGTGTCATATTTTTAAAATAGAGTTTGCGACCTTCATTTCTCCGCCCGAGCCCCTCCCCCAAACAAAAATAAAATATTAATAATGTACAAATTAATTTACAGTTGATAATGTTCATTACACTCCTAGAGAAACGGACAGAAATCCCCCTCCTTCACCCTGCAGACAGTTCCATTCAGTGGCGAAGTTTGGAATGAACGAAACTCCAATAATTATCTGCGTCTTTAAAAAAAATGTTGGGATTTTTGGTAAGAGAAAAATACAGAACTTGAGCTCATGCAGTGGTCTAAGATGCTGAGAGATGTCCACCAAATTTCACCTTCGTTAACATTCTTCAAAGCACCTAAGAGATTTAGGAGCCTAAATTTCATTTTCAAAAAGTTTAGGAGCCTAAATACCCTGGAAACTTTGCAAAATGTGATGCCTTTTCTTAATAAAAAAACAACACCTCAAAGCCTGAAAATTAATATGAAATTATTTCAGTTCACAGCTTACAATGGCAGATATATCACCCTCTCTTCAGCTCGATGCTAGCCCTTTTTGGCATTTTAGCATTGAAGGCGAGGGGAGTTTGCAATAACTTTGCCAGGCTTGAGAAATTGAAGTGCCTATTTCACCTGCACCCTATCACTCTGAAAGAAAGAATTCCGATCCAAATTCCTCGCCTCCCTACACCCTTCCCAGCAGTGGGCATGAGCCTGGTAGGGCTGGAGTTCTCCAACCCCAATCCAGCACAGCTCCCTTAGCTTCATTGATACCGCCCCCGAGAAAAGGGGTTTACTGCTAGATCTAGCAAATGGACAGTGAGATCTGATGGCTGGAGCTGGCGCCAGTAAGATGTACGTTTTTACCGGTGGAGATGAGGAATGAAATTTTAGAGCCGTTCCCCAAGGGATGCGGATTCTGCATCCCTTGAGGACTTTCTATCGTCCAATAGATATGGTTTAATTGGGACGCAAGTCATGGGCTGGGTGCAGGAACCTCTGGGCAAAATTCTGCCATGTCTCCCTTCCAATCTGTGACTCTTTCTCTACTGGCTTTGACCGGACGACCCCTATGCTTTGAGCTAGGCAGGTGCTGAAGTGCGTTGCTGCATTGGAACCAGCTGAAAAGCCCCTGACAGAGCAAAGCCCTGTGGCACCGACCTGTCTGGAAGCAGGGGCCAGCCCTGTCAGCCAGTTTGCATGCAGAAGGATGGGCTGGAGTCTTGCAGAATCGGGATCAAAGATGGGAGTTGGTCTCCAGTGGCCGTGCCCAGAGATCATCGAGGGATCCTATCTGTAACACGGCGGGGAGAGATTTTTTGTCTCTAGCTCCTTTTCAAACGTCCTTCCAAACTCTCTTTGATTCTTCTGTGTTAAACTGTCCACACATATACGTTATATAATATATATATTTATATATATATATATTTTATATATATATAGAGCTCTCTTTATATATAGTCATTTGAAAAGCCTTTCCAATTCCCCCAGTGAGGGGCGAAGGTGCGGGTGAAGGAAATAGTCCAACGCCTCCACCCCCCCTTTCATTTGCAAATTCCCATCAACAGCTGCTTACCCCCCTGTCCTAGATACCTTGAAAGAACAACACAATTTAAGGACATGCTCTGAGAAGACACTTAAAGGATGATCACAATAGCACCTTGGCATGGAGAAAAGGGGATGGGAGTGGAGGATGCATGGGGGAAAAGGAATTACGCCGTCAATCCCCTGAAAACAAAACAGAAACATTGTATATATTTTCCCATCTCCCCCACCCCCACACATCCCGAGCAGGTACCCCAAAACCAGTCTCAGCTCCCGTCGCTGTTGCTTATGCAAAAACCAACACCATCCCAACTCTAACCCTTTTGAGAATAGCACCCCCTTTTGTTACTACAGAGCAGAGAGCCGAATGGCTGATCAGTTCCATAGTTGGACAAGATCCATGTTAACTGCTTTATTTACCACCATCGTTATTAATGGATTCATTTTTATTTTCCCGAGAGTTCGTGATTTTGTTTGTTTCGGTTTGGTTTACTCCACACATTTCCAAGACTCTGACACATTAACAAAGAGAGAGAGAAAAAAATCAGTTATAATTAAAGACCCCCCCTTTTATTGTTTTAATAATAATTCCGAGAGAGACCGATTTTTCGTCCCCAAAATCTTTGCCCAGCCAAGTTTTCTGGATCCAGCTGTATCCTGCTCCGCGTCGTAATTTTGTCGATAGTTATGAGAGAAAAATCAAATCATTTGTATCCCAATTGGATTAGTCTGTTTCCAAACAGGGCATGGGAGAGGGGTCTAAAAGGGGTGGGGAGATGTACCCCAAAGTTTCATCCGGATGAGGAAGCATCTAACCTCCTGGGGTAACAGATGGGGGGAATCAGCTGTCACCTCTCTCTCTATATATATATATCTTGAAGGCAAAATCCTGGCTCAGCTTTATCTAGGGAGCTCCGAAGCCTTCATCAATCCATCTACCCCTCCCAGATCCTCATTTTCTGTTCTCTTTCCGAGTGGTTGCTTATTTCCGGTGCCAACCTCTAACCATGGCATGTGTGATTTGATCGCCCCCTGCCCTGTTCTTTCCCCCACTTCGTTTGCTAAAAGGAAAACAAATTAAAGAAACCCCCAAGATCTGAAGGAATCCGGGGTGGGAAGCGAGCGTGATTTTGATTTTGGGGTGGTTGTTATTAATTTATGAGGATGAACTGAAAAAATAAATAAGAGAGAAATGAACAAATTGAAACCAGTGTGGGGTGGAGGTGGGGGGCAGGATCCACTGGTTGCCTCTGTGATGCAGAGGGAGGAGAAAGGAAGGCTGGGAGGTTTTGTTGGTCTCTTGTATCCAAAGGTTGGCACGATTTGAGCCGGTCTCACCTTGCGATCGTCTCTCTCTCGCGCTCGCCACCAGAGGGACAGGAGGGAGGCGGGGCCAGGGGGGGCGGAGACTCACACATAATACTCCTTGTCCTTGTTTTTCTTGCTCTTGCTGGGGGTTTTGGTGGCAGAGGTGGGTTTCTCCTTCACCACCGTGCCATTGCTCTGTGCCGAGTTGCTGATGTAGTTCCGGCTCTGATCCACCTGGTAAGAGCCTTCGTCCCGGTTTCGGTACTTGTACATGGCATAGAGGAGGATGAGGATGCACAGGGCGGCCGCCGCCACAATGCCGACCACCATCCCCGTGGTGCTGCTAGATTCGCGGATCACCTCGACGGCTCCCGGGGGACCCCTCTCCCCCGAGCCGGTGGGGTTAGCTGTGGGTAGATTGTGGAAATTGGGGGAAGATGTTATACTGGGGTACTTATGCCTGTTACGGTTGTCGAGTTCAAAAGAGGTGGGCAAAGGGGGGTACTGGTCTGGGTGGGGTTTGGGGGCCTCGCGATTGTTCATTTTGCCGGCGGGGATGTTACGGACCAGATCGGGAGAGGCAGTGGAGGTCAGGAGCTCAGGGATTGAGGATGAAGCTGGCACTCCTGTCCTAATGTTGGGCCTGAAGCCTTGGGACTTTTTAGATGCTCCATCTGGCCTGGCCAGCAGGGTCCTATCTGTGACCAAGGGGAATGTGGTGTAAAAATCTTCGTCATCAGTAGGGGGCAGGCTGGAGTCGAAGACCTCGCCCGAGGCGTAACCGGAGGCCTCAATGCCCTCTTCGCAATCGCTGTCCTCTTGGTCGGCTAAGCACGGGGGTTTTTGATTGGCGGAAGGGGCTAGGGTGTCTCTGGTGGTCTCTATTACGGTTAGGAAGGGGCCAAAGGTAGGTGGCGGGGGTATGAATGGAGACCGGGTGGCAATTGGTGGGGTGTCTAAGGAATCTTCGGTAATTATGGGCAATACTAATTCACCTCCTAGAACAGAGAGAAATAAAGGGGGAAGAGAAACAGAAAAGGAGAGATGGGTTAATACGAACCGGAGGAAAAACTGCCACATTTGGACACAAGAAACTGAATCAAACTGATCAACTGAATTTAAAACTAGACTCGTTCCCCAATCTCTGGCTGCTTTTTAACGAATCTTTACAACTGTTTTTCGTTTTAAACTGTAGCTTTTTACAACAAAATCTAGAGAAATCATAAATTTAAAGAAAAAGAATTAAAAAAAAGAAATTAGTCATTTAATGCAAAAAAATTAAACAGATTTTCAAACAGCAGAATTAAGTAATAATAAAAGAAAAAACCTAATTGCAAACTGCTTTTCACATTTCTTTTTATTCCCCTCCTTTTCTCTTTCATTTCATTTTTTCCCTTTTCTTTTCGTTTTAAAAATAAGAGAGCAAACCACAGAATTCAATCAACTTACATCAACAAATTGGCCATGTGATTTTAGCATGAAGAAAAAAAATTACAAAAAAGAAAACTAGGTAAGAATGTTTTTTTGGAGAAAAAACAACTTTTTTTTCTTTCTTTTTTTTAAACATCTCTTTTCTCTACCACTCGCCTTTTCAATTGTCTCTCTAGAGTCATTTCTATGTTTCTTTCTTTCTCTCTTTCCATCTAGATTAATTTCTCTTTCTATCTATACTCTTTCTTTCTAGATTCATTTGTGTCTATATTCTTTGATTTTTCTTTCTAACTAGATTTGTTCCTCTTTTTCTAGATTAATTTATCTATAGTCTTTCTGTTTAGATACATTTTCTTTCCTTCTCTCTCTCTGTATTCTTTTATCTATCTTCTTTCTTTTTATCTAGATTCATTTCTGTTTCTATCTATACTATTTCTACATTAATTCCTGTGTCTGTCTATATTCTTTTTTCTGTCTAGCTGGATTAATTTCTCTTTCCTTCTAGATCCATCTATAGTTTTTCTCTCTAGACATATTTTCTTTTTACTTTCATTCTATCTAGATTAATTTTCTTTCTACATCCATTTTCTTCTTTCCACCTATATAGATTCATTTCTGTATCTTTCTATATTAATTTATCTACCTTTTTCTTTATTAATTTTCTTTCTAGATTCATTAATCTATGGTCTTTCCATCTAGATGCATTTTCTTTCTTACTTTCATTCTTTCTTTCTAGATTAATTTCTCTACCTTTCTTTCTTTCTTTCTTTCTTTCTTTCTTTCTTTCTTTCTTTCTTTCTTTCTTTCTTTCTTTCTTTCTTTCT